CCATTCTAACACACAGAATCGAACTTGGTTAGGACGCATCCAACTATCTCATGTTCCCATGAGTGTATTCAGCAGAAGGTAGCTGTCGCAGTAGGTCCTGTCACCTTTCTTAGGAATTGGAAGCATATTTGCTTTGCTGCAGTCTTCTGGTATTATTTCATTTTGCCATACCATAGAAGATGAATTTATGAATGATGATGAACGACATTTGAAGAGTTCGGCCCATTTTCTCCGGGAGTTTAATTGGTCTTAAGTTTATGGATTATTTCCTTTTATGTTGGCGGTTCACAGTTGCAAATGTAAGGCTCGACGGGCGAATCAGTTATATTCGGGATAACAAATGGCGCATCATGGTTAAGATCCAGCGGATTCATTGCCTTATAGAAAACAAACTCAGAGTTATATATAAAGTTAAAGGTCGAATATTAAAATCTAGTGCACTTTTATTGTCGCAGTTCCTTCAGAAGCCATAAATCCTTGCTTCTGTTTATTATTTATTTTTTATTATTGGTTCGATTTATGAAAACAAAAATATAAATTAATATTTGCCTACAATTTTTTATTTTATCATTTTTTCATTATTAACTCCTTTAACGAACAGCAATACAAAAAACAATTCAATTATTACAAGCGAAAACTATAAATAAACGTAGAATAAAATAAGGAGCGAAGGATTTGAAGTTTCGAGTTTAAATGATGTGAATGATACTTGGAGATATCAGAAACAACTTCATTAGGTAATTTAATCCAATAGTTGGTAGATATAAAACTTCTAATAGAAAAATTCTGGCCGAGCGAGGATACTTCTCTTGCAGGTAGCACCTATAGCTTTGTCATCATAAAAGCTTAGGCCGTTATAATTAAAATCAATCGAAATTAATAAAACTAAGTAGAAGCTTAAAATATTAATGAAATCTTAATTCTTCTGAGTCGAAATAGTTCGATATTATACAAATTTAATTTAGATTTTTAACCTAATATTATTTTTAACCTAATATTATAATAATTTTTACAATATCTATTAATATTTATAAAACTTTTTGTATGTTTATTGTTTTATTATCTATTATTATCTTTATTATTATTTTTAATTATTATTATCAAATTATTACTATTATTAATTATTATTATTGTTATTATTATTTTTTTATTATTATCATTAATTTATTATTATTAATTATTATTGTTATTATTATCATTAATTATTTTCTCTATCACTGTTAATCATTATTAAAGTTTTATTAAATTATAAATTAATATAAATAGCGGTTAAACTCGCTATTAATGTAAAGTAGCTGGAGATATAGGTGGATCCGAATTTTTTAATAGCAGGTTTATTCCTATCGGAAGGGTAGGAAACTTCATGCGATAATCTAAGTAACTACCTTGTTCGCATTATCTTATGTACCTATGTATTCCAGCTTATCATGGTACTACTCCACCGGCGATTTTAACGACGTATATGTTGGTGATATAATTGCAGGACCGCCAGTACCACCAGTAATATAGTTTTTAATAATAGGTCAAGGTACCTATAATGGCTTGGCTTTAGTCGAACCAGTGTATCATTCAACCACCTTATCACTTTGATGTCACTGAATTAATGTCGAAATTTAATTTTCGATTACAGAATAATTTGGAAATGAAAACATTTCTTGGCTTTCGCTGTGGTATTTAAGATAATGTAATTTGTCGATTTAATTATTTTATGTTTATTATGAATATCGTTACAAAGCGTTAGGACGTGCCATTCTTCGCCATTCATCAAAATATCTTACTTTACTAAATTCTACATCGACAGTGGTAACGACAATGATAATAGGCCGACACGTTCAAGAGTATAATGGTAAGCGATATAAGGGGGGAAAGGAAATGGCTTCATTTACTTTCAGGATTAGTATCGAGTCGGGAGACTTAGAAAGTTTTATGGATAGTAAAGCGAGTCAAATTATTATTTTTATTTACATATTTTACCACTGTTCATTTCAGATTTTGTAGAAAAAGTTTTGAATATTTTATTTTTCTTTTGTTTTTTATTTACTAAATTGGTTTTTCACCAGTAATAATTTCAAAAATGATTACGAAAATTCCGACTCAATAAAATTTTATTTTCTCAGTTTTTTTATTTATTCAAATTTGTATTAATTAAATAATAAAATTACTTTAAAATTCGATAGATTTATTTATTTTTTCGTCAAAACTTTTAGTTTTTAAAATTTACTATTTATTATGCATTTTACTTCTTTTTTTGTAGGAATTTCTTAAACACTCATCATTTTTGATTTGGTTGGCTGAGTCGGCTGTTGATTACTAAATTGAAGATCCATTCGCCAGAGGGTCATCTGCGAATGGAAGTAGGTCTTAAGTCTTAGGTCTTAAACATCTTTTTAACGTGTTTTTAATGCAATTGAACGAAAAGTGCTAGGCTTTTAGTTACGGCAACACACCACTCAGCCTTTCTTTACTTTTATTAGTTTTTATTATTATTAATATTAGAAATAATATAAATAAGGCATCTTATATAAATAATAAATTTAAATGAAGCGATTGAGATAAGATTAAGGTAATAAATATGTTTTCGATAATTTTTAAGTATTTCCGTTTTATCTTTTATCCTTTTAATTTATATTTCAGATGAAATATAAACTTTTAATTGCATCTTATATTCAATAAATTATTTTGTCTCGGTTTTTTATCTTTGTTTGATAAACATTTTTTTTTCATTTCGGATTTTTCGTTTATTTTATATTTTTATTTATTGTAATAATTACTATTTTGATTATTTACAGAAAAAAAATTGAGTTTATTTATTTATTTATTGATAACCAGCCAAGCAGGGCGACAACGCCGTGGCTTGTTTTAATAATAACAGTTAGAATAACAGAAAAAGAAAACACAAAAAAAAATAACACAAACAAAATTAATTATAAAACAATATGACAAAAATTAACAATTTAAAGAGGAAATTACAGATCAATATAATATAGTACAATTCGAAGTAACATATATAAGATGAAGATAAAATCGAGATTTCTCACTTCCTGCAGTTCTTGCCTGTCTTCTCTTTTTTTTTTTAAATAATATCGTAAATGATATTATCTAGTCTATTTTTAAAGACAGCTAAGGATGACGCACAAGCTACATCGTTCGGTAATTTGTTCCAGTAGTTAATAGTACGAATAAAGAAGTCATGAATCCTTAGTTTAGTTTTGCATATAGGTTTTAGTAATTTTAAGCCATTTGTTGGATTCAAATTTAGTCTAAAGTTATAATATTTCGAGCAGTCTAGTTTAACATAACCATACAGAATCTTATATGTGTGAACTAAATCTTGTTTAATTCTACGAACTGAGAGAGAATCCATGTTATGTTGTAGAAGTGTTCTTTTATAATTAAAATTATAATTTTTATTAGGAGAGAGGCGTCTTAGAAAATATTTTTGGAGTCGTTCGATTATTTTACCTGTTTTGCGATGTCTCGGGGAGTAAAATGTAGTATTGTAGTCAAGAAGAGGCCGAACGAATGCTTTGTATAAGAAAACTTTCAGTTTTGTTCTTAAACGAACGAAAAATAAAATTTAGTATCCTTGAGGATTTCTTTACTGTGGTTCTGCAGTGAAGATCGAAATCGAGATTTTCATCCATGATTATTCCAAGATCGGAGATGTGTGAGACTCTATTGATTAAATTACCATTTATAAAAAGGTTAGGAAGATCGAATCCTTTAGAGTTGATGTGAAGAACGCTACATTTTTGAAAGGAAAGGAAAGGGTAATTTGCCTGTCATATAGCCAGTTAGCTATTCTGTTGAGGTCCTCCTGCAGTGGAGATAGGCTATCCGTTCTACCATGAGAATAACAAATTTTACAATCATCAGCATAAAGATAAATAGCAGAATTTATTACCACTGTGGTGATATCATTTATGAGTTAATGTGATTAGCGCTAAGTACTGGCTAAAATCTGTGCGAGAAAAATTTTTAGAGTGCAAGAGTTACTTGACGGGTGACTGGCAGATCTGACAGCTTACTCGGATTTTTTGATGACTTTCCTGTTGGAAGAACGCTCCGAATCTTCGCGCTTTGGGCGTTAATCTAACAGATGAGCAGTCCTAGTCGAAGGATCGTTAACGGTTATGTGATTATGGGAAAAACGTGAATTACTACTAAAACTGGAAAAGTCCGATGCAGAGGACAATTCATTTAATTTGTTAATTAATCGAATCAATTGTTTTTGGAGCAGTGTGGTGGTCGGAGAGAACGTGGATGGAATAGAGAAAAAAAAAGGTAATAAGCAAGAAATAATTTCATGGCGATTCTCGCTTGCTGTGGATCAAATAGCTAACGAGTAGCAGCAGTCACTGAAGCCGCGAAAAGTAATGTTAAGTAAAGTAATGTAAAGAAATAAAACAAGAATGAACACTTGCGTCATTAAATTGCGTTATTGAATTTATCATGATGAATTTATTGTTAACCAGTATAAATCTTATTCATGCTTTTATCACATTATCAGTGATAAATCTTAAGGAAGGAAGGGAGAAGAACTAAGGTTTAGCTGGCGTCATGTATTCGAATCATGATGCTGTTAAATCTGTCGCGAAAAAAACGTCACTTCTCGGTCAGTTAGGAATGGTGGGTTAAATTATTCGGAGGAAGGATGATAGCTAATCAGAAGCGCTTTCATTTGAAGCGCTCTTGTTCGACAACTTTACTCGATATATTCGATATATTACACGTTTGGAGACATATAAACGTACTAAGAAGTATTACGTTTTCACGACAAACGCGTTTATTATATTAGTTCGCTGTCGATTAATTTGCATTTATATTCGAGATTCCCTTTTAAATAATTGTAATTTCCCTCCCTATGCTTTTTTTCATTCATTCATTCAATCTACTTTTTCTCCTTCTAATTCATAGTTCCACTATTTGCGTTTCGTCTCGTTCCACCATCTACTAGGACAAAACCATTCCGCCGCAGAGAACCACTTAGGAATGGAAATATGGGTATTTGTTTGGTCGAGTTGCACTTATCACATTATCAGTGATTTTTATCAACTTTCTTTATGATGAACAACAAATTTTAAATCGAAAAGTGCTTCCAAATGATGGTAATAATTTTTTAGAAACTTCTTGCTCGTTTGTTTTTGTCATTTGTCTTTTAATTTTATCGCAAATAAATTTGAAGTGCAAAAGGTTGTTAGTTGAACGTTGTTGTTATCATCTTTTTTGAAATTCAGTTTTTGAAAGCAATTGGAATATTTTAATTTCTTCTTTCCTTACTTTGTTTCGAAAAATTTGTTCGTAAAGAAAGATTCTGAAGTTTTTCTGCCATTTTGCCATTTATCAAAAATTTCATCACTTCTGCCAGAAATCAATAATTTTGCCAAAAATAAAAAATTATTATTTCGTTAAAAAATTTTTTCTTCCTTTCAATCAAATTATTAATTTTCTATTTATTTATATAACAATCATAACATAAGCGAGAACGAACGAATCAATTCATTTGCGTTGATAAGTGATCAGAGATTAAAAAAATTTTCTCCAATAAAAATCAATTTAATTTTTTATATTATATTTTTTATTAATATAAATAATGAATTAGCATATTTTATATTAATTTTTAGATGTTATCAAAATAATGATAACTATAAATTGAAGAGCAACAAATTATGCTATGTTTTTTAATAATTATTTTTATTTTTACAAATAATATTTATTGTTCATATTTTCGTGATGAAATTTATGCAAATACGAGTCATTTTATCCACAAAGTATGAGTTTTTTAAAAATTCTTTTCAAATATTTAATTAATAAAAAAATTTTTCAGACTTTTTTTCAGTTTTAATTAAAATTTTTGTTGTTTTTATTAATATTTTTTTATTTATAATATTTTTTATCATTTTATTTGTATCAAATACTTTTTTTACAGTCAAAAAATGGTTCAATAATTGGAAATAGTGAAGAAGAGAAAAAAGAAAAGACAATTTTAATCTCGTATTTGCCAGCTATTAGTCAATTTCCAAAGAATTTTTTCAATTCACTGAAATTAATGTCAGAGGTTTGTCTAATTGGATATTTCTTTGAATTTGATATTTCATTAATTAAATAAGATATATCATTTTAAAATAAATTTGTCGCAAAAATTGGTACTTTCCGATTAAATGGGACAACACCGATTCAAAACTCTTCCACAGTGTTTTTAAGTTATTTTTTTGGAATTATCATAATGTCTCTAATTGCATTATTTCCTCTCATTTCTTATCTCCTTTTAGCTTATTTCTCCTTATTCCCCGTGACCTTTATTAATAAACGAAAATTGCTGGTATCGCTCAATTGAAAAATATTAAAAGGATTGTTATCATTAATTGGTTTAGATTATTGGTTTTTTGAGATGGCAAAAATTTTAATTTAATTAATTTCATTGAGTTTTTGTGTGAAAAATAGTTTCAATTTTTCTACTCGAATTTTTTTCAGTTTGATTATCTTGATGCGCATGACAAAGATAAGAATTATGGTCGATTATCAGATTGTTTTCGTACTGAATTCGAAGGTGTGCATAGTTTTTTTTAATGTATCATGCTCAATATTCTATACTTATTCATTAATATACTTATTACTTATTTGTGCTTACTCATTTGCTTATGTATTTTATTGTAAAAATAATAGTACTAGTGATCAAACTTGGAAATTTGTATTTATTATGACGAATAAAGATTTATTTAATATTTCTTATTTATTATTTCTTTATTTTATTTATTTTATTTTATTTATATACCAAAATATTAAAATTCATAACATCAGTTTTTTTCTCTATTTTTTTCAATTTTTTTGATTATTTTTTTTATTTTCTTATATTAAACCTTAAGAATAACATCGAAATTGAATGATATAATATGACATGGCAAATATTTACAAACAATATTAAGGTTCGGTGATTTCTGGTGCATTACATGTTGCTGTTGAAGAGATTAATGCAAATCCACGTTTATTGCCCAGTTATAAACTTGCCTATGTTTACAATAACACTTGTGGTGATGAGAAATTAAGTAAGTTTTTTTTATGTAAAATATTTTCATGTAAGTATTTATATCTTTTCTTTTTAGGTACAAAATTTTTTATGGAACATTGGGCACAAGGTGCAAAAGCTTTTATTGGACCGGAAATACATTGTCGAACAGAAGCAACAATGGCTGCTGCTCAAAATCTTCCACTCATCTCTTTTAAATGTATGGATGAAAAAGTCTCCGACAAAGCCAAGTTTGTATCCTTTTTTACTTTCTTTACTGATTACATTTACAAATTCGTGATATTCGAGGACTTAGTGTAAGAAGTTTCTTCAATGGATCTTACTAGGTATCTTACATTATTTATAGATTTTTGCTAAATTTTTAAATAAACTTTTATTATTTGCACCTTTACAGGAAATTTTATGGGGTTAATAATGCAATAATAATGCAACTTTTAAGCAAATATGGCATGGCTAATATGTGCCATGCCAAAGCATTTATTTGCGAATGAGTATTTACAAGTTTAAATGTATAAGTGTTTTTTTGTTTTGTAGCGAACCTTTTTTTTATACTTGATTTTATTTTATTTTATTAATATCGAAATAATAATGAATTGATAATAAAAGTTAAGATATCCTACATTTGCTCGAACAGTTCCAGCTCAAACAGAAATAACAGCTGCACTCATTTCACTTTTAAAATGTTTTAATTGGCGAAAATTTTCAATTGTTTATGAGCGTTATGCGCCGAATGAAGAGCTTTTTTATGCAATTAAGGTATATTTTTTTCTTTTTTTTACTAAATGAGCAAGATGTTAGACTTCCTGCGCAGGGTGCTAGTACGGTGAGAAATTTTTGCCAGAGGTAGAATTGCTGATGGATCGCCAGCACCACTCGGATTTCCCTTTGTAAGATGCGAAAGACCTTCTGTTGTTATCACAATAATCTCTCGATTATCTTGGCTTTTTTTTTTATTAATAGTAATATTAATAATATAATTTACTCAAAAATTAAAATATGGAAAAAAATTGTCACCATCTAATGATAGGTTACTAGGTTAATTTTACTTATTTGCAGCGAAAAGTTTATTTTTAAAAAATTTTAAGAGTGCGATTGATTTGGAGAATTCACGATTTTCGGTCAATGAACGGCGATATATGATCATTAATATAAGCACAGTGGCATATCCATTTTCCGAGGTTGCTAAATCCAATGTCGCGCAAATTATTTCGGATACTTTCAAAGCGACACGAGGTTACCGTTAATTTTTTTAGAAATATTAATTTTAAATTTTTTGAATTCTTTTCTTCGTGTGAGGATTTTTTTCTTAAAATTTTATTCTTTTAATTATCTTTAAATAAAATACTGCTTTTTTTATTTATTTAATTATCTTTATTTTTGTCTTCATCCGTTAAAACTTTGTAAGCGCGGCGAGATGCAGGCTATAGCTGTTTGAAACGTCAAAACGCTTATGGATATTGCAAGTCAAGCGACATCCTTGTCCACACCCTTTCTAATCATCATGTGGATATAACTTGTTTGACTGAGATCTTCCTCATGTCGATTGTCAAGTAATTATTAAACCTATGGTTCCGAGCAAAGACACTATCTGTATTATTGTGGTTTCTTGGATAACTCGAGGTGAAATGGCGTAGTGATTGTCTGAAAACGCTCGATCCGATCTAATTGAGTGAATTGAATGACCGTATGGTAAATGACCGTATGGTCTACGCGCGAAGGAAAATTTTGCAATATTTCGGTCATCAGTATATATGGCCCAACTTTTTTTTTTAATAATCCTTACCATTATTGGTTAAACTCACCCCACTGGTTTGTTGCACTGGACAAATATCAGAGAATACTGTAGCGATAGAAGTAAAGGTGAATCGTCAGCATCACCCGGATGTTCCAACTTTATACGTAGATAATTACAATAAAGATAACTTCTGTTGGGAATGCTAACTATCAACAACGGAGAGATGACATGGTCATAATCGGGGGAGACTGGCGCGCATGAATCATTACAATAAACAGTAATTGGCAAATATGGCATGGGGGTCCAGTGCGCCACTGGAGAACGACTTTGTTTTGCCGAAAAACATGAAGTCTTTGTTATCAATATGTGTTTTAGCATCGGAATAGGCATCTAGTCTTGTGGGGCTATATGGATAACGAATATTCCAATCAGATTGATTATATATTGGTCAGTCGCGGCTGGAAAAGCATCACGGTACTTGACAGTCGGGAACTGGTGTTGAAACTGGTAATCATCATGGATCATACCATGTTATGGTTGGGTCAGCCACGCGCTAGTTGGGTATCGGAAGCAATTGTACAACTGTCTGAGAAAATTGCCAAAGCCCGAATGTCAAAAGATCTTGATTATCGGGTTCTTCAAATAATTACAACAGCAGTATGACGGCGAACCGCTATTTGGGATGTAGCCCTGAAAATGAAGACGGTGGGTCGGTTAGGTGCTAATAGGAAATTATTTCTTTAAGCCTTAATAGCCTTCTCATAAAGCAACTATAACTCGAGAAGGAGTGAAATGATACGGGATATTAATGGGGCATCTGTTAAGGCTATTAAGGATCGCCTTATAAGATTGAAAGAATTTTTCGAGGCCTAACTACTATGCACCATCTGTTGTTCCGGATATAATTCGCTCATCGAGCCTTCCGTTTGCAACTGTGAACCGCCAACAGAAGCGGAAATAATCCTAATTAATCTTAAATAATATTTAGGCCAATAATTTTTTTCCTCTAATAATTATTTAATGTTTTGGTTGTTTCGATTGAAATCGAGCATTGTGGATGAAACGGCTTTTTATCATTTGGCAGAAGTCACATAAAAAAAACTCAATCTATGACAGGAGTCTCTCTCGATTATGACCATGTCATCTCTCGGCAAAGATGTTCTTAATAGTTAGAGTTTGTCATCGAATCACTTGATAGAGATATGGGTAGGTCTTTGGATTTTTGATACCATGACAGGTTTACTCCTGTTAAAGAAAAAAATAAAGGTAATTAAATTTAAAAAAAACAATTTTATTTAAAGATAATTAAAAGAATAAATTTTTAAGATTATCTGATGAATAGAAGAATAGTATAGTATACAATACTGTAATAGTAGTAATAATAATGGTACTTAATAGTAAATAATAAATTATTAAATAATAATAGCAAATTGATAAATTTCTTTTATTAATTTATTAATCAATGAGCAGAGCATGTTTTCGGCCCAATCACCCATAGAACAAAAGTAAACAAATTTACGATTAAAAATTTATATGCCAAATAGTTACTTACTTTTTCTTGAAATTTTTCTTATAATTTATTCTTCTACAATCCACTTTCTTTCTTCTTATCTATGTAGCTATGGACTTTTTTCTTTATTTAATATTTAAATTACAAATTATTTTTAAATATTTAGTGTATTTAACGTTTGGAAATGTTCGTCTCTTTCGTCGGATTTTATTGGAAATGGGCGAACTTGGATTAATGGATGATGGTGATTATGTGCTTGTTTATCTGGATCCAGATTACAATTGGTTGAATATGTATCACGCGATGAATAACCATTTTTTTCGAAGTAAATCATTCATTATCACTGTATATCACATCGTTTATAAAATTTCACTCGATGTATTTTTTATATGAAATTTTTCTTTAATGCTAACTTGTAATCATAACTATCATATGCGAGTGGATGCAGCATTGCCATCAACGTTTGTGCATTGCAGTGGAGGAAGCTTGACTTTAAGAAATTTGTGCAGGAGAGGCTATGCTTTCTTTTAAATCATACTAAGAAGCAAGTATAACAAGAAACGGTGAAACTGTGAACGCTGACCATCATTTTACATTGTATTTTAGTTAATATAATCATATTTAATTAAGATACATTGGTGCCAGTAAGTCAGTCATGGGATGATATGAATTCTCAGGATCGAAAGGTTGTGAATTTTTCGAAATCTGTGCTAGCTATTATACCAACGCCTGTTCATCTTGATACACCCGAATTTATAGCATTTTGGGAAAAGGCTAATAACTATTTGTCACTTTTTGGTGTATTGCGTGGGGAACCAGCTTTTTCCATAAAAGTAGGATTTTTTAAATTTTGCTTTTTTATGATTTTTTATGATTTATATTTTTTAGATTAGGTTTTTATTAAATTTTTTATTAGGTTTCCGCGAACATTTCACTAAATCTTTCAATAAATTGTCATTTTTCAGTAATCTTTCAGTTTTTTTTTGATATCGTTAATTCCAGTTTTTCCCACATAAGAAGTAATTATTTTTGCAGATTTTTTGAATGTGCATTAATATTTTTTTGCAATTGAAATGCAAAAATTTTCCCTTAAAAATTTAAAATTTATAAAATTTATTGTTTTTCAATAGATTAATTAGATAAAGTAAACTGGATTTGAAAATTTTGAAATGAGTTTTTTAAATTATCCGGCAAAAAATTTTTGTTGAGGAAATTTCATAAAAGAAATTTCCTTTCTAAAAATTATTTCAAAATTAAATTGTTGCAATGAAAAAGGCTGTCAGTATGTGTTTCCTGGTTTATGTTCGATAGTCTTTCCTTTAAAAAAGCATCGTAACCTATCATTCGTCATCGCACAGCTCAAAATTGGATAATAAAATTCAATCATTCATTCATTCGAAAATTCAATCAAATAACATTCAATAATAACGACATAAATATATACGAAAAAGCAAAAAACCAAACATATAATATTCTCCCATTTGTTTTTTTTTAAATTCAAATATTTTTGCCAACTCACCCATCGCCATGTGCACTTTTCATGTTACCTTTGCATTGAGGAGAGACCGAAAATTGAGAATCTTCACTGTCGTTAATCTGGTCTCTTTTTGCCTGGCCCAATATGTCGATTCGTGGTTTTGCTTATTTTCTGAGCCCTTATCTATTAAAAAACAGAAATTTTTTAAATTTTTAGTTCGAATTCTCCAATTATGAATATAAAATGTTGGATATGTTTTTGCAAGCTACTTATTTTTTCTTACTATATTGTTTATTTAATCTTATTTGAGCTTTTTTTTCATAGGCAAATCGTTTTGCTTGTTATCTTTATGATGCTGTTATTTTATATGCAATGGCGTTGACATCAGTTATCGAAGAGACTACCGAAGAAATGCTATTAAATGGTTATGATCCGATTTTAGATGGTCGAAGGATTATCAGTAAAATTATCGGACGTGTTTATAGAAGTTGATTTTATTTTATTTTTAATAATTTATTGGCAGATAGATTTTAGAGAAATTTTAATTTCATCGTTGCAGGTATTTTAAATTGCAGGTATTCAAGGTTTCGATATGCGTATTAACAATAATGGCGATGCGCAAGGCAATTACACGCTATTAAGTCTACAAAAAATTTCGCCAGTCATGGACAAAGCAAATCCAAATTATTATCCGCTTGAATATGGTCTTACAATTACTGCCGATTTTATCCATGATTTTTCTGAAAATTTGCCAATAGTGAGATTTAAGCGTGAAATGCATTGGCAAAATGGACATCCACCTCTCGATGAACCCATTTGTGGTTTTCTTAATGAATATTGTCAAGCAGAAAGTTAGTTAATTTCTTCCTTATGATTCAATTTCATTTTTTTTTCATTTTTTCTATTTTTTCCATAGATTTTCATAAATTTTTTTTTTTTAAGATTGGTGGATTATAACTATATTTTCGCTTTGTATATTATTTATATTAGTGATGATCGTTGGTAGCTTTCTAATTTATCGGTAAATTTTCATTGATCATTAAATTAAATAAATTAAATTAAATACTAATTTTTGATAATATAATGGATATTTTTTTATATTTCACTCTATTTTCTTTAAATTTTCTTCATATTTATTGTTCAGAAATTGGAAATTTGAGAAAGAACTTTTGAATATTTGGAAAATCGATCCACGTGGCATAGAGAAGGTTGTACATTGTAACGAATCGAGCACATCTCTGTTTTTAGTTGGTGATAGTCGTGTGAGTATTCCAATTTTTTCTATGAAAAATATTTTTTTTTAGCCTTAAATGGGACTATTTTTTTAGGCCTCACTTTTAAATTATGATGAATTCAATGAAAAATCTAGAAGCGGATTATGTGGAGTAGCATTATATAAAGGAGCAATTGTGACCATCGAAGAACTCGGTTATTCTCGGAAATCAAAAGAAATCGCTAGAGCTACAAAACTTGAAATGAGAATTATGCGTCAATTGCATCATGATAATGTCAATTCATTTATGGGTTCGTTATTTACTTATTAAAGAAAAGCATTAATAAAAAATCAGCAATCTGCTTAGTTCTTTTCTTAACGAATATCTATGTTCTAACATTCCATTACCAGTTACGCTGACTGAGTACCAGAATGAAGCATTTCCAACCCATTTGATCAAAGTTTATTCGATATAAAAGTTTTCAGGAATAATTCTGTGTAATTCATCAGTTTGCATTGTTCGAGAATTTTGTGCTAAAAGTTCGCTAATGGATGTTCTAAGGAATCGTGATCTTAAACTTGATTATCTTTTTATTGCTTCTTTTGTTGAAGATCTAATTAAGGCAAAGATTTTTTTTCTAATTTCTTCTAAAAGAAATTAAAAAGGTTGAAAAAAAGATATTAAATATATTGGATATATATATTACTTATATACATATAAATTCTTCAATGGTATCAGACATATGTTTACAATCATCACTCTTGGGGATAGAATTGCTCAGTGGGTTGTTGCTCAGTTTGGAGCTCAGATGTTCGATTCCCCGCAGAAGAATCTGTACAAAAATCGGGTTGATGCTGGAGACTCACCTGTATTTCTATCGCCAAGGGACTCCCTGGCATATTGCCCAATGCGACAAGCCAGTGGAGCGAGTTTAACCAGTAATGGTGAGGACTCTTAAAAAATATATATGAATATGTATACATATAATATTATATTATTTAATTTCCTTGCGATCTTATTAGGTTCAAAAATAATAACAAATTTAAATTTTATAATTCAGATTTTTTAATTTATTATTCATTTTATTTTCAGGGTATGATATATTTGCATGAATCTGAGTTAAGAGTGCATGGTAATTTAAAATCAACAAATTGTTTAATAACAAGTCGATGGACATTACAAGTTGCTGATTTTGGTTTGCATGAATTACGTGATGGACAAATTTGGGAAAGTGAGGAAGCTATGGTAATTTAATTTATAAGCTATATTCATTTAATTTTCTCTTTTTTTTTACTTTTTGATTTGATCCTTTTTTTTTGCAGACGAAATAATGAATGATTTCATTTGGTTTCTTTTAATTTTCTTTGCAAAATACTTTTTAAAGAAATAAAGAAATTAAAGAAGAAAAGAAAAATTATTAAAAATTATTAAAGAAAGAAATAAAGAAAAAACAAAATACTTATTAAAGAAAAAGAAAAGAAAAAATAAAAGAAATTTTAATAAATACTTTTTGGTTCAAGAATTTAGTTTTAAATTTAAATTAAATCTTTTTATTAAGAATTTTTAATGTTTTGATTAAAATTTAATTTTTTCAGTGGGAAAGTTGGCTTTGGACTGCTCCTGAATTACTTCGAGAATCCGAATGCATAAGAGCGATCAAAGGTACTCAAAAAGGTGATGTTTATTCATTTGGTATCATTCTTCATGAAATGATCACTCGTCAAGGACCTTTTATGCTTATCGAAAATAATGAATTATGTGCGAAAGGTTAGTATTATTTTCCTTTATCTATAATTTATTAATAAATTTTTTTTCCGTTTTTTTATTCTAAGCTTATAAATTATTCATGAAATACTTATTCTTCATGAATGGATAAAGAATTTTACCATTTTTTTCTATTTAATAGCGATATTCACATATTTCTTTTTAGATGTCGTGCTAGCGGTAATGAAAAGTTCAAATTATCGACCATCATTTGAGGGTATTTCTGCCGCAAATTACGTGATTGAAACAATGAGTATGTGCTGGTCAGAAGCTCCTGAAAATCGACCCGAATTTCGCACAACCATTCGACATAAACTAAAACCAATGTTTTCACCGATTTATAAAAGGAATATAATGGTAAATTTTATAGTGGAACTTGCAGCAAATCTCTTGTGCAATTGCTGTTGGTGTCGCCTAACCCCATTGCGAGAATTTTTATTCACTTTTATTAATTTAGTATTTGCGATATTTTGATTTATTTTCATGTTTACATTGGAGTTATAAATTCACGGATTTCAAATTTCCTCGAATCCTCTACTAGAGGTCTGGAAGCTTAAAGGTTCTGCGCAGTATTCTTTTCTAGCAATACTCTTTTGCACAGAAATTGTTTCTAATCATTTTGCTTATTATTATAATCATTATTTATACTTATAAACATTTTGAATATGTTTTGAATATATCCAAGTTTTTATCTAAAAAGTAAAATGTGGAAATATTTCGAAATTCGATGGGAAAATTTAAATATTGGTGATATTAAAAGATTTTGGTGATTTTTTGCGAAATTTTCAGGATCATATGATGGTAATGATGGAAAAATATCAGAATCAGTTGGAAGATCTCGTTGAAGAACGAACTAGTGAGTTACATGATGAAAAGCGTAGGACTGAGAATCTTCTGCAAAGAATGCTACCCATGTAAGTTAAGTTATTTTATTTAGCAGAACCGATACATTTATTTGAAATGTGATATTTGAATTTAAATTTGAAATATTTAATTATTATGATCAAAAACTACAATTTTGATTTTGAAAAACTGATTTTTTTTTATAAAGCTTGTGGTTCTTTAGCTATCTTTTTTCCAGATCAGTTGCACAGCAGTTATTAAATGGTAAGGATGTGGTACCTGAATCATTTTCCTCCGTAACAATATATTTTTCTGATATTGTTGGTTTTACTGCAATTTCGGGTCAATCAACTCCATTGCAAGTCGTCGAATTTCTTAATAAATTATATACATTATTTGATCATATAATCAAGCAGTACAATGTTTATAAGGTTTATATTGTTCTTTTTAACTTCAAAGAGATGATTTGTGATGTTTTATTAATATTTATTGCAATAATCAAATTTTAAAGATCTCGCCTTCTTATCTTCATATCTTTCCTTCTCTTCTTTGAAATTTATATTCTTTTTAATTTTAATTGAAGAGCTTCTACTAATAATTTTCTATGTTAAAAAAATCTTATTTTCATCCCTTATGGGTAGTAAGAGTTATCTTCAACCTCGAATCCTCTACCAGAGGTCTGGTAGCTAAAGAATTCTACGCAGTATCTTACTTCTTTCTATCAATGCGCTGTTCTGAATATAAATTTATGATTGCTTCTGGAATCTCCTGAAGCCTCTTTTCTAGCTGAGGGATTGCAGCTCTTAGTGCTGTTGTTACTACTGAGATTACTTTGGTCTTGATTTTCTGCATCTAGCTTTTTCAGCCCCTGGTGTTTCTCATATTTCTTCTTACTAATGTTCCTATCATTATATTGCTAAACCTATCATTAGCGCTGATTTTTGGTTCTTACCACCGCGATATCTGATTATTTGAACTGTTTATTTGTTCCGATGGAGAAGTTCCACAGGATCTTGGCTTTATTATTCTTTAAGATTTTTTTCTCTCATCTGGCTATGAAAAAGTTTAAACTATATTGATATTCCTATTGATATTCCTATAGAGAATATCAGCTACTTGGTTGTGCCTTTCAGTGTATATCATACATTTTACATCCTTCCACTATGGACATTTTCTGAGAGTATTTTGCACAGTATAGCAGCAGAGCCAGAGTCATTGACTTAAAATTTCACTTTTTAAGTTTTTGGCTCTATATCAGATCAACAGGTAACAGTTTGCACAAGTGGCAAGTGGCAGTATATATCAGGGTGGTGCACTGTAGCTATTACTGGTTGGTTCTAAGCCCTTTCAGCTATATAATCACAAGAAGTGGATATACATACAAGTTCAAGAATATTCTTTACTTGGGTGGTACCAAATTATATGCTAAAAGCGGGCGAGATATTGTTGTGCCCATTCTTCTAGCACGAATCTACAATGAAGATGGACCAAGGACCTCTGAAGAATGAGGTTGAATAAGAGATCTTGAAGAGCCAATCCAATGGGAAAGACGAAATCCACACCATGAAACATTGATACGCAGCTGGCATAGTGAGATAGTCAAAGAGAGGCAGTGAGGCTGTCCATGTGAAAACCTGGAAACTCCTGACTATGCATTTAAATTTCTACCGTCTTGCAAGTACTCCAGTCGCAAAAAAGGGAAGTTTTGGTTAATGCCACTGACTTAAGACCCCAAGCATTCAGCATGATGGCACTAAAGGGTAACCTGAAGCATCTACAGATACTGGAGAAAGACTGAGTAGAAGTACCATCGCAAAGCAGTATTCTGCATGAAATATATCTTCAACAGTTAAATTGTGAAATCCTGTCAATGATTGGAAAAAACTGGATTAAGAGGCAATACTGAGGTAATGGCCACAGCAACACAAGAAAAGGTATCCATCAAAGCAGATAGCTATTAGATAGTACTCTAGGTGCAACTTGTGCAAAAACTTCTCAGGTACTGTTCAACATATCTATTCAGTATATTGCTTAAATTTTCTCTTGACCAGATGAGAGACCTTCCAAAAAATCGCGAATAGTAAAGCCAAAATCATATGGGCTTCTCCATTCAACGAATGCGCAAATATTAGCCTATCAACCATATATTTTAGTCATTGTTAACAAAAATCAGCACTGGTGATGGATATAGCAATACTACATGGCAGGAAGAAGAAATCTGTAGCAGAGGCTGAAAGAAGAACTAGAGAAAATTCAGGAAATGAAAGCCAAAAAAGTCCCAGTGGTGGTAGGAACACTAAGAATTGGTCTTTAAACTGGAGAAGTGGCTTAAACAAGTTCCAAGAAAACATCAGAAATTTCTGACCAGAAGGGTTCATTGTTCGGAACAGCTGAGATATTACGCAGTATGTTCAAACTCCCAGGCTTCTGGTGGAGTTGAAGATGAGCTCTTACAAGGAGTGAGAGAGGATTTTCTATTTTTTATCCTTCATTACAAAGCGCATTATTTTTTTAAATGGATTAATAATATACGACTCATTTGTCGAAAATAGCATTCATCGGAACAAATTATAGAAAATCATCATTTAAGGTTGAAACAATTGGTGATGCTTACATGGTAGTTTCTGGAATACCTGAGGCACAACCTATTGAATTTCATGCAGAACAGATCGGTACTATGGCATTACATCTACTTGGTGCCATTAAAAACTTTCGCATCCCTCATCGTCCAATGGAGCAGTTAAAATTGAGAATTGGTATTCATACTGGTCCATGTGTAGCAGGTGTTGTTGGCAAGACAATGCCAAGATATTGTTTATTTGGTGACACTGTAAATACTGCATCCAGAATGGAAAGTTATGGTCAAGGTTGGTTTTCCTTTCAAGTTTTTTTTTATAAATTCATAATTTAAATCTTATATACAAAAGAATTTTTTCTCGTTATTGTTTAATATTTTTTATTTTCACATTTCAGCGTTAAAAATTCATTGTAGTGAGCAGACTCACGATGTTTTAATTAATATTGAAGGTTTTGAACTCGAACCTCGAGGAATCCTTCAAATAAAGGTTATTTTGTGTGGTTTTTTTTAGAATTTTAATGATTTTTTCTTTTTTATTGAAAAATTTTATGAAATTAGTGAAATTTATTTAAAGGGAAAGGGTCTAATGAAGACGTTTTGGTTGACGAGTCGCAAAAATGCTGATTTTTCGATGGATGAGGACTGTAGCATGACCGAGCAACAACTCGCTCCCGAAATTTTTCCTCGAAATACTGCTCGCAGTCGTTTACCTTCCTGGAGTACATTTTTTCTTTCTCCCTTTATTTTTTTATCTTTCAAAATTTGTTTTCCCTTCCTTTCCCTTCTTCGTTAATCTTCATCAATTATACATTATTCAACAGTTTGCGATAGTTTTTTCTATATTTTGGCAAATTTATAAATTTTATCCAAAATAAGCAAGTAAACCTTTCGCTTTTTTTCTATGGGACTTTTCGAACATTTGATTTTTTAAATCATACTTGTAAATTATTTGCAGTAGATGATCATTGTTCTTCAATATCACTTATTGGCAAAGAAACATCATTATTACGTCGAATTGTTGAACGGGCTTCATCTCGACATTCATCATTTGATACCACACATCAGCCACAGAATGGTTTTATTTGTACAAGAAGTTCATTTTTAAAACAGTTTGGAACCATAGAAGAACATTATTCTCCAATTTGTCAGAGGTTTCTCTTTTATCTATTCTTTAAATCTTATTGAAGTTTTTTCTGGGTGATTTGAAAAAAAAATTTCCACTTTAATCTATTTAAAAAATTTGTTAAACTGAAAATATTGAAATGAATTGAGTTATTCATGGAGGAAAATGATTCTGGCTGCATTTTTAGATTTCAAAAAAAATTTTTTCATTTCGTAAAATTTTATAGAAACTGTCTTATTTTTTATTTTGTATTTGTTTTTTATCTTGTGAGAATTTTTTAAACTGTTTCTTATTACTTTTTTTAAAAAACAACTAAATTTGTTTGCAGAAAACGGTCTATATCATTTCCAAGATTGGATGATTTAAATGGTAATAAATCGCAAAATATGTTTCCTCAATCTTCGATTACTCCTATGCCCAACAATCATTTATCGAAATCATTAACTTTAAAATTTGATAATCTAAGATGGAAAAGTCTATTAAATTATCAAACTAATAGGTGAGATTTTGTTTCTCGAATTATTGGTTTGTGATAAATTTGGAATTGATTATTGGTTGAATTTTCACAAGAACTGTTATGTATAGGTAAAAAAGTTTTATTTTAATATTTATCTTCCATAGAAAGATAAAAAGATTAATTAGAACTGCAATTTTTTTCTGAACTAACTTCTTGAAGAATTATCCAGATTTTTTGAAAAATTATAGAATTATTTTTACTGTTTAAAGAGAACTAATATTTTTATTTGAAGGAAGCAATCGAAATCTTATCCAAATATATTCGCTTTTACTAATTTTAACCAAGCTTGTACGCCATCGACCATTGAGAGCGCTTCATATATATTTCTGAAAGATAATTACTCGTCATTTAATGAAGATTCGAATAAATTTGTTTCTTCGAAGTTCCAAGTTGATATTTTCAGGTAAATTTGCATTGCTGCTTTAATCCTTATTTGTTTACTAATATTTGAAAAGAACTAATATTTTTCTTTAATAATAGACTATTTTTTTCGGATTATTTTACGTATATTGTTTGTTATTATGGTAGTGTTTTGATGGTAATTCATCATTCTTTTGTAATACCACATTAAATAAAAAAGCATAAATCTGAAGATTTTCAGGAAACGATTCAAGTCGTGTGGTAATGATCCTCTTTTAAATGGTTTTATTACTCCTCTTGATTCGTTGACATCGTTGGGAGAAAAAGCAAGGTTTGATATAAAAGTGTTTTCATTAAAAATTATGCATTAAATTCTTAGTTAATTAAATTCTGTCCAATTTACATAATTTATAGTTATCGAAGGGAAATCGAAAGTTTAAGATCATTAGCAGCCGATTCACGTTACCGTTGCGAATCAGTTAGAAAATCTCGATTTTTACCATCAGTTAATTATATAAGCATATCACTGAATCGAATTTGGCGTCGATTAAATGGTTCGTTAACCGATTATGAGACGTCGCCTAAAATTCGTATGGCAAGTGATTCCCGTATTCAACAAGATAATGAAGAATTGTTATTAAAAGTTTTAAATTAAATTAAATTAATTTTTCATATTTTAGAAATTTTTTATTCGCCATTTTCCCATCGTTTTAATATATTCTTTATTTAATTTTAATATTTTATGTATGTTTTTAAACATATGGTAATGTGCATATTTAATATTTCTTAATGGTTTTTCATTTTTTATAGATATTTTATATATATTTTTTTATAATAAATATTCCGGATAATGATAGGGATTCACTTTATTATAGTCATATTCGCAATTGACTGTGGTGTTTTAGCTGTAATATTCGTAAAATTCACTTAGAGTGAATTAAACTGGTAGGCTTGAAGTCGACTTTCTTTCAATAAGTAAATGAGCCTTAGTAAATCTAAACTTATTTTTTCTATGGCACGTTTAATCTAAACTAATTATCTTCATTTTTTCCCATTACTTGTTGTTTTTGTAATTATTTATTATAGTTATTATAAAAATTATATATTATTGTTACTAGCATACCGTTGTTTTATTATTACTATAGTTATGATCTGACATATCCCCTCAGGTGTTTTGATGTTGCGTTCAGCAAATTATATCCAAAAATTATGTTTGTATTTGATGTGTTAAATATGAATGTTTACCTCAGTTTTAGAATGATATATGCGCTTTTTTATTTTAGTAGAAACATAAGCTTGTAAAGTATTTTTTGTTTATAAAATTGGAGATTTTTAAAAATTTTTTTGTATATATTTTAAATAAATAAATAATAAAATAAAATGATTCGTGCGAATCGTCAATAAAATGGATTTAAAAATTTTTTATTGGGAAAATATTAAAAATAAAACATTTTTTGCTTTTTTATTAAAAATTCGCATTTTCTTGGAATTTTATAATTTGAAATTCTTGTAAAATTTGTTGAAAAATTTCAAAATAATATCTCGAAATATTTTTATTTAGATAAATATATTTATTTAAACTTTAGAAGTATCTTTTATATTTTTGTTTCTTGTAGCGACATTAATAGAGAAATATCCTTGTTGGCAATCAATCTGGCTTCTGTCTTCATCCTTGTTCGTTTAGCGTAGGAATTTCAGTCAAGCAGTTTTAATCAGTGGCCAGAGTAAATTTGCCGAGGCAAAAATGGCTGTTAGAAGAGGATTGAGCAGTTTGAGTCTGTGTTAGTAATAAAGTGTAATACATTAATCATATTTTAACCCAAGTAAGCGATGATTAAAATAAGTAATACGAACTTATGGATCATACTGCACCAAGAAGTTTCGTGTAAACTTGGTGTAGAAGGGGATGATTTACGCATTGCTGTACCATTATGCATCATCGTCATTCCGTTGCCGTTGAAACAAGCAAATTTTTTATATTTTAGATTTTATATTTTATTTTTATATTTATCCAGGTATGCGAGTCGTCTTTTTTAATATTTGCCCCTTCTCTTTATAGTTTTATCTTTTAACCTGCTTCTTCGACAAGAAAGAAACCATTAACTTTGTCATTACCTGTCCTTAACCACGGAATTATCAAATACGTTAATACTGCTTTATGTGCTTGATAATACTTTTCAGTTTTATGTAATTTAAATAAAGCAGTTTGCTATCAGAAATTATTCTCAACGAAGCTTTTTAATTGCTTTTAAAAATTGCAGATAAGTTTCTGTCCATACAATATTTAGGATAATTTTCACGCGATAAACTCTGCGTCAAATTGATAAGACAACATGCAACGTGCGTTGCATATTACAGAGCAAATTTATGGTACTGCAGAGCAAATTATAGCGTTTTAGGACAAATCTATGAGTTATCATTAGCTGTAGGAGAAATTTGTGACATTCACGAGAGGAATTCTCAATCTGAGACGTGAATCTCAAATTTTTTTATCAGAATGGTATTGATTTATAAACCTTGTTGCCAAAAAAAGAATCTTCGATACGATCATTTAGTAAGTTATCCATAAAATAAACGATTGCAAATGGTACTTGGATTGTGATTGTCCAGTGATCATCCATAAATTTTCATAAATAATATAAGCAGACTCTGGCAGTTGCAACTCACTTATTTCATATTGGTTTTGTGTGAAAAACTTATTTGATCAGTTATTCGTATTAAGAAATTTTTGCGAGGTACTCTCCTCTCCACGGTACCATTTTTCGTGATCTTTCATATGTTATGTTTACATATAATTGTATTTATTATGTGGTCTCAAGATCATGTGACCATTCCTATTGTCGCCTTATAACCATGCTGTGGCCTGGATTTGTAGCATAAGCCTAGGTCGCAAAGCTAGCTCCCTTCATCTTATGGCCTTCCTTTGTGCCTCGTGTTATCCATGACCCTCGGTCCTTGAAAGCCTTCCGGAAAGAGCAAAAAAGATTCTTGCATTACGACTGAATAGATAAATAGATCAGCGATTCGCTAAAATACGAATTAAAATGACGTCATGGGAAAAATTTTAAATGACATCATTCATGGCGAAATAGAATTGAAAAATATTTGTGGCAGAGATTAGAGAAAAATTAGGGATTAAATTAGAGAAAAATACAAAAAATAAGCATTTGGCAGATTGTTGATGCTTTAATGGGCGAAATTACTATTCGTTTCATACTCCCTTCTCTCCTCTCGTTCCGTTGACCTTCGGTGACCAGAACTTTGGTCGACCTCTGACCTCTGGTGGTTTGACCTTTTCTTCACTTCTAATCGTTTTTTCCCAATTTCCTCTCAAAAAACTATGAAATGAAATATATCGACTAAAAATTGTATTTGTTAAACAATCAACAAATGACCCTTTTTTTGGCGTAAAATTCAAAGGAGAAAGGTCAGTTCTTTTGCCAGAAATTGTGAGATATGCAGTTATGCCATTGTTATAATTTTAATTTGAACTGCTCAATTATTTCGCTAAATTACAAGTCTTAGCGTTTTCCAGTGATGTCACTTCGATAAATATTCTGGCTTAACATATCCGAATTATCATTAATAGTGTTAAGGCGTTTTCCATCTTCTTTTTATCAGTAATATTGGCGAATAGTCAGTTTTTAAACGAAAATTTTTTTATTCCTTTTAAATTTAATCTTTTAAATTTAAATTTTAAATATTTTTTAAATAAATTTTTAAATTTTAAATATTTATACTTAAAAATTAAAAATAAGTTTTGGATTTAAATTTAGTTAATAGGAATCAAATTTTGATTTCATCCGAATTTATCAGTTTTTCGATGATTTCGTAATAATTTTTCACATTTATAACAGTTATATTTACCCGAATTTTTTTTTCTTTCTTCTTTCTTAAAATTTTTTTATCTTTAAATTTTCCCTTCTAAATCTAATTTAATCATCTCTATTTCTTTGTCTATTTATTGTCTACTTCTACAGGAGTAAACCTGTCATAATGTCAAAAATCCGAGTGGTTGCTGGGGACTCACCTTTATCTTTGTTCCCCAAGTGGTTATGGTGAAAAGGTCAAGTTTCGTCCGCATCTCTCGACGTGCTACTTCTTATCCGGTAGTACATGTGGTAAATATACAATCCGGACGTAATAATAACGGTAATAAAAATCCATGGTACAATAATACAACATAGAATTTGCTTTCGAACCGAAATAACGCAAAATCCGTGAAGGGATGCTAGAAAATCTATTAACGTTTTGTAAGCGCGGTGAAATGCTGGTTATACCTGCTTGGAACTCAGAATGCTTATGGATATTGGAAACTAAGTAACCACTATCCACGCCCTCTCTAAATACCGCATGGATGTGGCCTCTTTGTCGGAGATCCGTCTTCCTCATGTCGGCTCTCGAGTAATTATAAACCTGGTTCCAAGCAAAGATATTGGCTATGTCGCAGTAGTGTCTCGGATAACTCGGAGCGAAATGCTGTAGCGATTGTCATGTCTTAAAAGGCTCGATCTGATCTGATTGAGTGGAAAGCAGGTTCTGCAATATTTCAGTCATCAGTGTATATGCTCCAACTTTATGCACAGATGACCTCGATAAGGATAAGTGCTATGCGAAACTTCAACTCGGTACTTGGCAAATGTGGCATCGAGGTCCAGTGCGTCAGTGGAGAATACCTTCTTCGTTTTGCTGAATAACATGAATTCTTTGTTATTGCTTTCGGCATCGGAGGAAACATCTAATTACATGGGGAACTCTTCTGACAACCAATATTCCAATCATATTAGTCATTCATCGCTGTAAAAGTATTTGATAGTCGTTCTTATCAAGGCGCTGAAACTGGTAACTGCCATGGATCAGATAATGGTTCGAGCTAAGATTCGTATAATACTGACAAGCAGTAAGAAACAAGGTATCCCAAGATCTTTCAATCATTTCAAATTAAAAGATCTGGGAACTATAAGCGCATTTCAAATTATATATTTGGAACACGTAAAATGAACGTCGATGACATTTCTGGAAAGGCGAATAAATAATGGTCCCAACTAAAGATATGCCTAAAAAAATTAGCCACTTCCACATTAGGGTATACTAGTAGGAAGTGCGTTAGCAGGGTGTCGGAAGCAACTGACTATCTGTCGGAAAAAGCTTCTAAAACCCGAATATCACGAGATCCTGACTATCGGGTGCTTCGAAGAATTACAGCAGCATGGCGAGATAGAAATCGCTATTGGAGCGTTATGACCTTGAGGATGGAGAGGGCGGCTCGGATAGGTGATAATAGGAAATATTTCGCCTTCTCCGCAAAGCAACTATAACTTGAAAAGGGGTCAGTGAAATAATACGAGATATTAATGGAGCGTCTATTAAAATTGTTAAGGATTGCCTCAGAAGATGGAAAGAATTTTTTGAGGCCAAACATAACCACGATGCACCATTTATTGTCCCGAATTGATTTAGCCTTACATTTGCAACCGTGAGCCGCCAATAGAAGAGGAAATAATCTCTGTAATCCATAAGCTTAAGGCCAATCGAACTCTTCAAATCATCGTTTGTCCATCATCGTTCATCATCGTTTGTCCATCATCGTTCATAACAAATGTATTCTCCGGTATGGCAAAAAGAAATAATACCAGAAGACTGGAGCAAAGCAATTCTGCTTCCAATTTCTAAGAAAGGTGATAGGACGTACTGCGACTATTACCAAGGAATCAGCCTACTGGGCATCTCCGGAAAAATTTTCACTTCCCTTCTGCTAAATAGGCTCATGGCAACACGAGATAAGAGAATGCGTCCTAACCAAGTTGTGCTGACCAGATATTTACGCTAAGAAAAGTGCTGAAACATCGCTTCAAATACCAGCAACCCACTGTCATTTGCTTTATCAATTTTGCAGCTCGATTCGACTGATAGAACAGCGCTCTAGAAAGTGATGGAATGTAACACTGTTCCAGAGATCCTTCGGCTCACAAAGGCATTTTATCAGCATATTCTGACTCTGTGTATATGGAAAACTGACAGACTCCTTCGAAATAAGAATTGGTGTCCGTCAGGGATACGTTACGTCTACGTCTACGTCTACGTCTTTTCCTATT